TTTTTTATTAAATGATAGCTGTGTACATTAATGCAATCATGGGGTACAGTGTGATGTTTTCATATACAATTTGAAATATCTTCATGAAACTGGTTAACATAGCTTTCATGTCATTTTCTTAGTTATTGTGCTATGACATTTATATTCTACTTTAAGAAAGATTCACTTGTACCCTTGGAAGATAATCCACAGAAGTGATCCCTTCAGTCACCCTCCCTCCACCCATCCACCCCCTCCCGTCCCCTGCTTTGGTTGATTTTGATGGTTAAAAATGTCAACCCTTGAAGTTAGTCAGATACTATTCTTTGTGAATCCTTGCATTACTGATAACAGGATAAGAAGAAAGATAAGTCACAGATAAATTCTAGTTTAATTGCCTTGGCTGATTGCTATCAATATGGGACATCTTTACGACTTATGAGAAGTGTGGTTTTGACACTAAATTATAAATATAGCCAATAAGATTAATACTGAAGCATGGCTGTTCATCATAGCTAGAATTGTTAGGATATGTACAGCTTACACATGCACGTGAGCAAATGCATATAGTAATTGGGTTGGGATGGAAATTGGAGATCTTTACTAATTGAAGTGTATTTTTTTTGACTGCCTATTTCCTTTGTTTAAGTCTTTGCGTCTGTGGCTGGAAATGGTGAGCCTGCCTCTCTCTCTTCCCTGCCATACAAGAGATCTCTGCTCTACTTTGTAAATTCCATGATGTGACCAGTCTGAAAGGAGATACAGACATCTGATCAGAACTGCCAGCTTAGGGGAATGTTGATAAAAATGGTACTTTTTAAAAAATACTAGGGCCTCAGGTAGTATTAAGCAAGCAAGTTACCTCTATTGATGTCAAAACTTTAGGGTTAACCAATATGTGAATGACCCAAAGAGAACTTGGTAAAAATAGGCTTGGGATGTAGCTCTTGCATTTCTTATCTGTCCTGGACATTATTGTTCACTACTCGAGATTTTTCTGTTACTTCTTATCTATAGGTAAATTCTTGTTGAAAAGTCATGCCCTTTATATTTCTTGTCTAAAATGTTTCTTTTTGTTAGTTTTTACCTCTTAATTTTATTTCTTAAATCTATTTCTTTTCTTTTTCTTTAAAAAAACATGTTAACCACTTTGAGTATACAGTTCAGTGCCATTAAGTAGATTCACTGTTGTGCTACTGTCACTTCTGTCTGTCTATTTGTCTATCTGTCTGTCTATCCATCCATCCACAGAACTCTTTTTATCTTGCACAGAAACTCTGTACCTATTGAACAACAACTCTCTGTTCCTCCTTCATCCAGCCCCCGATAGCGACCATTGTACTTTTTGTCTGTGAATTAACTACTCTAAGTAGTTTGTATAAGTGGAATAATGTAGTATTTGTCCTTTTGTGACTGGCTTCTTGCAATTAGCATGATACTTAGGTCTAATTCTTAATGTTAATTCTTAATTCTATTTTCTTAGTTCTAACTCTATTCTATATCATTATACAGACCCATATATCCACATGGGTGCATAATTTATGAAAATTTAAATATCTAATTTTTGAGAATACTTTATGGAGTTCTGTAATGAATAGATTTGTATATATAGACAGTCCCTAACTTACAACTCAAATTTTTGACTCTTTGATGGTGCAAAAGCAATATACATTCAGTAGAAACTATACTTTGAATTTTGATCTTTTTTTAGACTAATGCTATGTGGTATGATACTGTCATGGGATGCTAAGCACAGCAGTGAACTGCAGCTCCCGGTCAGCTACCTGCTCAAGAGGGTCAACAACCTGTACTGGACAGTACATTGTGTTGCCCGATGATTTTGCCTGACTGTAGGCTAGTGTAAGTGTCTGAGCATGTTTAAGGTAGGCTAGGCTAAGCAAGTTAGGTATATTACATGAATTTTCAACTTAATGGGCTTATTAGATATAACCCCTTTGTAAGTTGTTGAGGAGCATCTGTATTTCTTGGTGCACATTTATATGTATAGAGTAAATTCCTTTCACTAAGAATTCTTGGCTCAGTGCCCATAGCACAGTGGTTACAGCACCAGCCACATACACCGAGGCTGGCGGAATCCGCCTAGGGCCAGCTAAACAACAACGACAACTGCAACAAGAAATAGCCAGGCATTGTGGTGGGTGCCTATAGTCCCAGCTCTTTGGGAGGCTGAGGCAAGAGAATTGCTTAAGCCTAAGAGCTGGAGGTTGCTGTGAACTGTAACACCACGGCACTCTACCAGGGGCGACATAGTGAGACTCTGTCTCAAAAAAAAAACAAAAAAAGAATTCTTCCTAGAGAAGATTCTTTGTGTAATATCTCCTTGTCTGCATCCTTAGCTTCTAATTCAAAATATGGTACAGATACCAGGTTGGCAGAGCTTAAGTTACTTGCCTATGTCCCAGCTATAAGGAGGACTAGAGAGGAAGTAATTTGGTTTTTATAATGGGAAGAAGGAATCATAAGATAGAGAATCCCCCCCAAATAGGAAAGCCAGCACCAATTTGCCCGCCTTTTAATAATGTGTGGGAATATCCGTTTCTCTTCAAGCCAACACTACGTTTGGGGTGTTTTGTATTTGGTCACTCTGGTAGCAGAACAATGGTATCTAGCTGCTTTAATTTTCATTTAAGTTAAAATTGAGGCGTTGTTTTATGGTTTTGCTTGCCCACTGACCATCTATATCTATATTTCTACGAACTGGTGATCTATATGTTTTAAAAAATAAAAGTACCCCCATTAGTGCCCTCAATCAAATGATTTCAAAGTGGACTATGCATTCTTAATCATCCTCAGTTTCTTAGTTATCCAGTTTCTATACCAGTCTATCCCTGTTCACTGGTTCTGCTCCTTGCCTCCAAACATACTGAGGTCGACCCTTATTTAAAAGGCCTTCCTAGCTACTGTTCTATTTCTTTCCTTTAACTTCTCCACTCATGTACTTTATACACATACAGCCAATGTGGGAGGATTACTTAAGCCAGGAGTTT